ACGCCATGGCTGGTCTTCGCCGTCACCGATGTCCCATCGACAACGTTATAGATTTTGGAACGTACGTCCACCATCAAAAGGCATTTAAACGATTGTATGTTGCCATGTTGCTTGACGTAAAAGGAGCATACGACAATGTTCATGACGCCATTCTCAAAGTAATGAGTCAATAGGCCTAAGTGGACATTTGCATTGTTGGACACGCAGTTTTTATAAGGGTGGACCTTATTTGTGAACACTGCAGATGGTCAAGCCTCCCAACACCTCACGCATTGTGGAGTTCCGCAAGGTGGTGTCTTGAGTCCAACCCTCTTCAACCTCATTCTGATTGATCTTGTGGAACGACTACCAAGTGTGGTCAAGCTATCTATGTACGCTGACGACATCTGCATCTGGGCATTGGCGTGACAAGACTTCAGGTACGCGCAAGCCTTCACAAGGCTGCAACGTTGGTGTCAGCACACCTCAATGAACAGGGTTTGAAAATCTCGCGAGCGAAATGCTCATCAATTGCCTTTAGTTGAAAAACAATGAGACCACACGCTACATCTATCGACGGCCAAGACATATAATATGTCAGGACGCACAGATTTCTAGGCGTATTCATTCATAAAGGCCTTTTCTGGGACCCACATGTGGCCCACTTGAAAAAAATGCTGACGGATATTGCTAACTTATTCAAGTATCTTGGAGGCAAAACCTGGGGAAGCTCAGTACATTCAATGATGCAATTCGATGCAATTGTACAAGCCGGTTTTTCTTGGTTATTTGCGATACAGCCTCCCTGCGTTGACTAATACCTGCAGAACCAGCATTCGCACTCTCAAAAGCATCCATGCTATGTCTCGGCGAGTTTGTCTGGGGCTACGGCGATGTTCGACAACAGCTGAGATGATTGCGCCCCGCCGCGGTGGTCTAGTGACTAAGGTACTCGGCTGCTGACCCGCAGGGCGCGGGTTCAAATCCCGGCTGCGGCGGCTGCATTTCCGATGGAGGCGGAAATGTTGTAGGCCCGTGTGCTCAGATTTGGGTGCACGTTAAAGAACCCCAGGTGGTCTAAGTTTCCGGAGCCCTCCACTACGGCGTCTCTCATAATCATATAGTGGTTTTGGGACGTTAAACCCCACATATCAATCAATGATTGCGATGCGAATGACTACCCGCTCAAGACGCATATTGTAATGGAAGTGCTCAGAGCAAACGCGAGGCTTCTTACTTGCGCCCCTGCCCATCATATAGTCTCACTGCCAGAAGAACAACCTCGTGCCTCATTTTGGATGAAAATCTTGACATATCGTACACACATACCCAAGGGATATACAACTCCGTCCAGAATTGCGAATCTCCCATGATCTATGACTCATTCAAATGTTCAACTCACGGTTCCAGGCATATATACGGTCAAAATACTGGCTCTAGTCTGCAGCGCTAAAGCAGCTTTCTCTTCTCTTGTATGAGAAGTGCAGTGAGCATAACCATCTATATACTGACGCTTCTACTAAAGTAGATGGGTCTGCATGGTCGGCGGTTTTTCCTGCAACTGCGACAATTGTCGCAGTTGCAGGAAAAACCGCCGAAGATTCGGTTATCCCACCGGACGTCATCAACAGCTGAGAATTTGCTGCTCTACGTAGCGCAGTTGAAGTCATTTAACACCAAGAAGCCAAGAAATGGAGCGTGTTCAGGGACTCCAAGGCAGCACTACAGTGTTTGGTGTTCTTCTTACGCCGGAAACTTTATGAACAACTAGTGCTGGAAATTAAAGAGCTGATTCACCACCTCCTCGACAAAGTACACGAAATCACTTCTCAGTGGCTTCCAAGTCACTGCGGCATATTGGGCAATGAACATGCCGATGCAGCTGCTCGATCTGCACACGAAGGTGGGGAAAAAGAATGTATTCCATTTTCAAGGACTGATGCTGCAATAAAAATTCGAAAAATCACTAATGAAAAAGTAAAAATCCCGGTGGAACGCTGACTGCTTACGGCACACGTGATACATAGGCTGGACAAGTCTCGACGACTTCAGCCTCCGTCCAGACTCTCTCGACTTGAGACAACGGTGCTTTGCGGACTGTGGCTTGGTGTCGCTTTCACCAAAGTTTTCGCCTTCCGAATCCGCATGGAAGCCAGTGATGCTTGAGATCATTTCCGCAGTGATGAAAACAATAATGCACTTTCTATGTCACTGCCCTCAATACATCGTGCAAAGACGGCAACTAGCTGCTGCGTTAGCTCGCCTTTTACGACAGACCCTTGTCAGAACAGTCAGTGCTTGAAAGGCGACATAATCTGTCTTCGTGCAGAAAATCAGTAAAGGCCTCATTGAACTTTTTGCGTGGTAGTGGCCTATTGAATAGGCCACAGCACCCCAGCCCGATTTTTTTCTTTTCTTTTTCACGCGTCTATTTCTCTCTTCGCTTTTTTTCCCATCTTTATTCCCCATTCTCCCTTTCCTTATAGTGCAGAATAGCTAACAGGGTGCTCCCGTTTCTGGTAAACCTCCCTGCCTTTCCCTCATTTTATTCTCTCTCTCTCTGGCTGCGGAAAGGCATCTATACCGGATTTCTTATCACGTGAGGTGAATAGACGACGAATGTAAATGACACGTCCAAATTACAGCATCATTAAAATGAGCCCAACCTTACGAGGCGGACGTGAAAGGGACACATCAACATTACTCATTTGTGCTTCGCCTAACATCGATTCCCACTGTACGTGGGATCTGCCAATTTTTTTCTCTTAACGTGTTCTTGTGCGCTCAAGTTGACGAGCGTATAAGCCATCATAGAAATGCGGCCATTGCTATGGGAAATGGACCCCACGCCCTCGAATGCAGAATAGCGCAACGTCATTAGTTCCGGCTGGCACGCATGATGAACAGATGAAGCTGAAGCATTACGTACACACACCTTAAGGCGTTTCGATTAAAAAAATATATTTATTCGAATCAGGCACGCTGATTTATATTTAGTCAACCATTCTTTATGTTTTTACAGCTGTCATTTCCCGCTTAAACTAGGAAATTTTAACAAAGAAGTATTTATAATGCATGGTGATTGAATTTACACTTGATTATAAAGAGTGAATAAGAACAAAAGACATGTAGAAAGGCTGACTTGGGCTGGGCCTTGTAGGATACCCTGCAATGAGCAAGGGGTGGGGCAAGGAAAATTACAGAGTAGAACAGAAAATTCTTTTTTTCCGGTGCATATGTGAGGCCTGCTTGGTCGAGAACGGCGAAGTGTTGCAATGAAACTGACCCTGCGAGCCCAAAATGTGCAAGCACGCGAGGCCTAAGTGACGTGTCGCAACTGCGCATAGCGACCCCACAGCAAAGACGAAAAGAAACAGAGGTGAAATAACATTATCAACAAAGACGACCCGGTTTTCATTTGAGCAAATATTGACAGATTTGTCCGGTGAAAACGCCGAAAAACAACCTTTGAAAACAACTGTTTTAATAGCGGTTGACATAAAACAGCTGCCCCTTATTTTAGTATAATGCGTGTCTTTCGTGTGGTTGATTTGCGCAGATGTCCACTGTATTCATTATTGTGTCGTCATCATATCGATTGGTATCATGCAAAGAGCACTACGTTGTCGGCTACAGAAAGAGAAAAAGTGATTACGCAACAAAAATCTTGCTCATGCAAAACAAAAGATTCTCATTATGAATTTAACGTAAGTGTGATTGCTGACAAATAATTTGAAAGAAATAAGCGGTAAAACTAATCACCGCTTCATTTGATGCATCTATAATTAGCTAACAGCGGCTGCAGTAGGTAGATATATTAGGCCCAGTATTGTTTAGATCTGTCAATATTAAGTGTCAGTCAGTCGCATTTTGTTTGTAACGTGTGCGATACTCGAGCATACACGTGTCGCTCGCTACACTGGGGGTTTTAGATCTATTAGTGCTACATTTCTTTCTACACGTTTACACTGTCTTGTTTTTGTCCGATATACAATGACACCGTCATAATATAGGATCAACGGTCAGAACGTCTGTCTCTCACGCGTTCTTCGCAATAGAGTGAAATGTTTTATGTGGGTCGCCTGCGAATACTTCCAAAATAACGAAACAAATTGTCATACCTACATTGCCTAAAATAGTTTAACATGATGAATTGTGAACTCTTATCTCATTCATCATACTTGGGTGCTTATGTAAGCGAGCTAGAGCAAAAAAAAAACTTGTGATTTTTAGGCACACAGTTTGCACAAAAAGTATAAAACATGCCATGTGCTCATTTTTTTGTGGAAGCAACCGGTGCCTCTAAAGTCTTGCAGTGGCAGCTAACGTGAATGCATATATCAATACTATTGGGCTCACTCGGATGCCATGAAAGCTTAAAATGTAAAAGGTAATAAACAGCTCCTTTGCACGCATTCAAGTGAGCTGCACTGAAACGGTAATTTAGGTCACTTCTCCCTGCAGTTGAGCAAACCATGCAAAGGGGCTGGCGATCTGCTCTATAGCTTGATGTGGCTACTATCACGTGGTATCTTAACTGAATATTCGTGCAAAGAAACAAGGTAAAATTGCGTTTAAGATAGTAGCTATAAAAATTTAATGATTATTTGATGATTCACTCAGTTATTAAAAGTATTCAGTATCAGGACATTATAGCCACTTTGCACAGATTTGTAACCATCTTCCTGTGGCCTTTGAAGGCTAACAACTGCATACTCAATCACTGACTCGAAGTTCAATCTTCGCTCCGATTGAGGGCAGTGCATACCTACGACTGCCAAAGACGTACTTCTCAAAAATTTCCGTGAATAATCGTGAAGCGCTGCGACTGCTTGTATTAATGACTGCTTGTAGTGAATCGCTGTGACTTCTTGTGCTATATACTTGCTTGTGTGGAGGTTGAATGTTGAGTGGAAAAACCTTACGTACAATACACAGGTTAGTCTTTTTGTGCCGACATATCTTTGGTATTTATATAAGTTTATTTTTTTACTTTTTTGTTTCTGTCTCTTTTATTCCAGTATATTCGCATGAGATACAACGCTTTCATTTCGCTGACGGCATGTGCAATTTACATCATTTTAACGGTGAGTATAATTCTGTTTTAAGCGCACAAATACGACCTTTAGTCTTAGGTTGGTATCGGGTGGTATCGGGCCCACTCTTACTTGTTATCTACGTTAACAATGTTTCTTTTGAGATTTCTTATTATTCTTTCCTCTTGTATGTTGATGACTTCAAGATATTTAAAAAATTCATTCAGCTAACGAATGTCGCCTGCTGAAGTCTGATTTGTGTTCTTTCTCCAAATGATGTACCAACAACAACCTTTTCCTTAATACCTCAAAGGCCGAACTCCTGAGTATATCTCGCAAAAAACCCGTCATCTCATTTCCATACTCTGTCCCTAGCGTGTCGTTATGTAAGGTTTATTAGTTCAGTGATCTTGGTGTTGTTTTTGATAGCATGCTAAATTTTTCTGCTCACACGGAACGTGCTCCAACGCGAGTACTTCGTTTTATCGGCTGTGTTTGCCGAATTTCTCAAAAATTCTGTTTTCCTGCAGCCTTCCGCAAATTCTACACTACGAATTGTCATCCTCAGCTTGAGTATGCATCTGTAATCTGAAATAGCCTTGCTAATATTAGCAGTAACACCTTTGAACACATCAAGAAAAATTCCCAAGCAGTTACGACCATACTTTTGCTAAACATTATTGTTTCTCGTTCAAACACAGCTAAATTATTGTCTCTGCCATCACTTTACTGCCGACTAAATCACGCTGACCTGTTATTTTTTTGCAAGGTAGTTCACGGTATGATATGCTGCTGTTTACTTCACAGTTATATTATTTTTGAATTCCTTGTAAGTTAAACAGAGAGAATCGACCGTTTTAGGTATTTACCAACTTCTTCCAACACTCTACCGTTCACAGTATACAAAGTCTTTATAATGTTAGCTTTCTTGATCTTGATGTTTTTTTTATATTTCACAGTCAATGTTTTTATCTTAGTTTTGCACTGTCAAGGTATAGTTTTTGACAATGTATAGATTCTTCCTTTTTCTATCTTTCAGTAAGCTTTCCGCGTCGTCGTGTATATTCCACATAATCTTCCACTCTCATTGTATTAATTTCTTCTAGTTCTTTTCTTTTTCCCATTTTGTGTTGATATTTCTTTGTTCGCTATTTATTTAATTTTGTTATATAAAGACTGTCTGTACTATGTTGTTTTATATTGTTTTATTTTTGCATGAGCCTGCACAAACACCTTGTGTGTTTCTGGGCTCCGTTAAATAAATAATTCATTACCTATACACCATACTTCTAATTGTAAAAGTGATGTTACACGGTCGTTTTGTAAAAACATATAAAATATATGAATTTTCATAAACGTAGCTCGGCAAAGAATAACACTTTATATTTTAATGTGTTGACCCTCTTCAAATGACCACTTCACTAGTATAAACTGATACAGAAGCATGAATTGTACATATAGTTTTGTATTTCTAATACCCTAATTAAAGTGTAAGTAATCTATGCACGTAGCTTGTTTCGTGATTTTCGATGACGTTTTATTCACAACTCTTCTTAACAACGTACTATTCAACCCAGTCGTAACTATAACTCAACTGGATATTTGATCTCTAAATATAATAACAATTGCTGGGGTTTTACGTCCCGAAACAACATACCATTTGTAAAGACGCCGTAGTTGAGGGCTCCGAAAATTTTGACCACTTGGGGTTCTTTAATGTGCATTAAATTTAGGCACACTGGCCTCGAGCATTTTCGCTTCCATCAAAACTGGGGCCACTATGGCCAAAATTCCATTCCGTGACCTACGGGTCAGCAGTCGAGCGACTGAGGTGCTAGACCACCGTGGCGGGTTCATTAATTTCTAAAGATTTAAGGTGCTCACTTCATTTATGATATCATCAGTGTCGTTATAGAGTCGCATACAATAATACTTAGCGATTGTCCTAACAATTTATTAATTTTTGCAACCTTGTTTTAGATAGACTACTACCCATTTATTGCCATGTACCTAATACACAAAACTTATCTTTCAGAAGGGAGTTTTTTTTATGGTCATCCGAGTTCGCTAAAGACATACAATGCATCATGATTGGTTGAAATATTTCGAGAATTTATAGCGTGAGACGTGGTTGTGAATACGGGCCCAGAACACATTGCTCTTTCGCCTATCAACATGTGGAGTTTTGAAACTTTATTTCCATCCCCAGTCTTTGAATATATGTTAACACCTTGCATAGTTTCTTGCAAACATGCTGCACCAGTGTCTCTCAGTTTTAAACTTCCTCATAAGCACATAATGCAAGATTCATCGAAGTGACAATGCTTTTAATGACGAGCTGTTGAAAATATACCTCATAGTTTTTGCCCATAAATATTACTTTGGTTCGTACTTTAGTTGACAAATATGTACATTTGATACTTCTCACGCAAAACTTTTAAGGGTATAATTGCATGGATGTAATTGGTCATCTTCTGCGACGTCTCTGCGTGCACCGATGTGGCGTACCAATTGTAGTATGTATTTGAGAAATTTCTTTTACTTTTTTGTTTACTCAACACATTGCGTAGTTTTTCTTGCGTTATACTCACCGCTTTATTGGTTTTCAAAGAATGCTGCCAATTTGATTTTAGAACTGATAAGTTAGGCGTTTTTCAGATCAGTGGTCCGTTATGTCAAGTGTCTCGTTTGTAAAAGAAACATACAAAACCGAGAAAATAAAGTTTTAAAATATTTCAGGTGCGAATTTTTAACGTCAGTAAAGTTTTAACATTATCTGTAGTAACTTTATTAAAACACAGTAAATTTTGTCACGGGCACTGGTGCACCCACATTCATCTATTCTAGAAATAAAAAACTGAAAAACAATATTGGATAGGCAGGGTTTTTACTGCCCTAAAGTCAAAGTTGTTCTATACGGAACATTCGTCTTTGCAAAAGCTGAGGAGCATCACTTGAACTTGGAATAATTGAAAAATCACAAAAAAATAAATAAATAGGAAGAAAACGGAAAGGCAAAAGACAGATTAACCAAAAGTGCACATGCTTGCGTACGCACGCAGTATAGAAATGGAAAGATTAGAGAGACAGGGCGGTGGGAGGTGACGGCAGGTGCTGTGAATTCGTGCAGGCGCGACGGCTGCAGATGTATGACAGAGTCAAAAGCGCGCACATAAGCCAGAAGTCCTTAGAAAGCGCAAGAATTGCTTCACTGCATTGTCGACCGTTCAGAAACAATCACGGAAATGGTGTTAAAGTAGCACGCAGAACAACAAACAGATCATCCAGTTATAGACAGTGCCTGTAATTCATTCAAATTGAAGACAAGGACAACATTGTAAAATATTTGAAAGAGATCGCACGCTTTGCGGAAGTTGGCTTGGCTACTTTGATTGAATCTCCTTCTGTTTATTTTGAATGAAAAAATTGTGTGTCCAACATGAAGTAACCCCACGAAATGTGGTTCAGGAAGGCCTGAAAAGCTATATTATTTCGGAAGACTGGGAAGTGTCAATAAACACGAACATTGGCCGCCTGCGCCATCGGCATCAACATGACCATTCTATGATGACGCCACAATATAACGTGATGATGGCAGAATTCGCCACAACTTGTGACGTCACTATGATATTTCATGACCTGACGCACGTGTTGACGTCATCGCATGAACTCGTTGCTTGTTCGAAGATGAACCGATCGCGGGGGCAATGTGAGATCACGTGTTACGTGAAGAAAGCTTCCGGAAGGAGGTGGGTGAGGTTCAATTCATGGGCCGAGAAAAAAAAAAGGTCACTTCCGCCTTCGAGCTGCATTAGGCGAATGCATGAGGAACACTGCGAGTTTTTCTTTCCCTTCTCATTCCAAGGAAGGAAAGACCCTTGTGTAGCAGCCTTCCATTGCCATAGTGCTTTTAGGTCATTGTGGACGGTCCTTGCTTAGTACTTTATAAAAATTATATGAGAAGGAATTAATAGCAAGGCTACGTTTTGTACACCCCCCCCCCCCCTCTGTCTATTTCAGCAAAGTGTCGGCGCAGCACTCATCTTTTCAGCCGCACTCACATCGTCTACGAGTAAGTACCCTCTCCCCGGCATTTGCTGGCACCTCAAATACTGTCTTCTAATTCTTTTCAGTATTCGGCCTACCGGTCACAGTAGCCAGCATCCTTTTCGGGCTAATGGGAACCTACTACGGGGCGATTGTAAGTATAATATAGTGGCACGCGTGCTTGCTGCTCTGTGTAAGTGTGACTGGGTTTTACTGAGACATGTTTTATTACTCACTGCGAACTGCAAATAAAAAACGTCAGGGCGTTCTCGAATGTTATCGCAGATTTACTACGTTGCCTGTGCAGTGCCGAAAACCGCATGCATTCATGAAATGGCATAACCATATGGGATAACATGAATATAGGTGGACGCGTTGAGGATGTAGATAATTGACTACTAACGACTGTTCATTGCCATCTCAGTGCTATCGCGGCACTGTAAATGTTAATTGCATTATTTGCGTGACGCAGATCCATTTAATAAGCAAAGCAGTCTTTACTTGTCGGTGCATTTCTCGCCATAACAGGTTTGTGAGAATACATGAAGACATTTAAAGCAAAACTGCGATAATGCATTTTTTTTTGTTTGCTAAGAACTATGTGGTCGGCCTGCTCCAATTACTTTTCGCCAATGCATTTATGTCTCCAATATGCCTAAAATCAAGATTGCAGCTAAAATCTATATAGACAACTGTTATCGGTATTCCAGCGTAAAATTTGTATTTGGCTCGTACACAAATAACCCCACTCGAATCAGGCTTCAATTACCTCGTAAAAAAGCCGAAATAACAGTGAATGAACAAAATAGAAATATGTGACACCGTCATTGTGCTTCCACCAGCGCCGCTGTTTGTTGCGAGGGCGCAAGGTTGACGGTCCGACTTTGCACAGCGAGTGGTCCTTCCAGGCACTACAAGGACCAATCTGGATTCCAAGCAGCGTTTTATTGTTCTTGGCATTTATTAAAATCCTTCAAAAGCATGATTTAGCTTTTATTTTTCTTCTTAGCTTATTTAATGCCCCGAAGTTTTGCATCACTTCTGCTTCAAGGAGTAGATCGGTGCCTGATCTTTTACTTGATGTCTTCTATTTCAATATACAGTCTATAGTGAAAGAAGGACACAGAACTGCAGTACAATGCCCAAAAAGAAACACTAAGAGGCAGAAAACAGAGTGAATTGGCCTTTTACTCTTTGTGACTGAGTTTCAGCCTCAATCATCACGTCTTTCAGTAAGCCCCAACTCACCAAAGTAAAACTTTGCGGGAACGAAAGCACGAAAACTATATACGACAGAAATGAAACATATCACATGCGGGTTGTTGATTGCTTCTGTCCCAACTGATGGCGCAGCAGCAGTTCAGTAAATATGGGCCACTTTTATTGGAAACAGGTGCACGTTCTGGTTCATTTGTTATTCGAAACTGCCTTTTTTGCGTTCAAGTTACATTCAGGAATCGCCCCTTTTAATTCCAACTGTTCCGGAAGTTGAAGCACGGCCGAGCTAGACTACACCTACGTATGCTTCTTTGCTTACGACCTTCTTACTTTCCGCGAAAGCAATGGCATAGTTTCCGAGTATGTTTCGCCACCTGTCGGTGGTAGAAGCGCTACGACCCGGGCCTTATCTTTCCTGCGCCGCGCATACGGCACAAGACTGTCGCGCGATGTGTAACCGCGGAATGGGTGTTCTCGACGGAGAGGGTAAAGAGGAATTATTCAAGAAGGCGGAGGTAGAAGGACGGTTGTCTTATTTGATAGAAAAACTAGTGTTATCACACAGCTCATTGTAAAATGTAGGTACATATGTGCTCGTGGATAATACAAGCTTTAATTCAGCAAAAATACTGAAGAATCGGCTAACAAGGCATAATGCAGGAGGCGTGAAGCACTGGTAACGATCATAGATAGAGATAAACAACGCTGCGTACCTGTTCTGCAAGGAGAGAGCGCCAAATACCTTTGGCTCTTGGTCTTGCTCGACAACGAGGCCGCAATTAGGGCAGTTGACTTACAGAAATGACGAGCACGCGTGCCATTTGCTAGCTACTTTCTACCTAGTTATTTTTCCAAATACATTTAGAGTTGTTCTCATGGCTAAAATCTGTGGTCTGCAGATTGACAGATCTATGAAACATGTTCGTGAGTTGAATCTGTAATGATTACTAACAACTGCGTATAGGCAAAAAGAAAGTAAAAAAAAGAGAGTACCCTTGCTGCTGAATAACCCCTTCGGACGGCACACCCTGAAAGTGCCGGTGTTCATTGTCAAGGAGTTAACATCACCTGGAAACATTTAATCCGGTGACTCCAAGCTCTTTGGCGTTCGTTTGTACTGCAAGCCTCTTTCATAATGATTGCGAAGAACGCAGCTGCTTGCACTTGCAAGTCGCTTGCCCTTGAACTAAAACTCTCTAGTGCAAATTTGTTCTGCGCTATGCTCCTAGTTCGTGGAAGAACATATTTAAAAGAGAAACTGACAACATTTCAACTTTCCGGCAAGTAAGAAGCTTTTTAAAAAGAAATCTGCATGAATTCTCTTGTGCCTTAGCGCTACAAGAGAAGTGAGTCTCTATATAGCCCTTTTGGAAATAGTGGTGTATTCAGTTGGGATGGTTCGTACATACCAATTTTGAAAGAAGAAAAAGCGCTGGAATGGGACAATTTTTTTCAAGTGCAGCAAACCTTTCACTTGAAAGTGTTCAACTATTGCCAGAGCTTACGAACAATAAATATTTATTTCCAGACCTCACAATGTCTACACGTTTGATGGCGGAGAGCTGTGCTCCCGGTTCTTGAATTTACACGTTTTTCGATAAACTTAGGCTCGATGCATATTATGCGTATAAGAAGTAAAAAAAAATCATTTGTGCATTTTCAACTATTAGGCGACTTGTTTTTTAATGCATCGTGAGTAAAGAAGCGCGCCCGAACTCATGTGCCGACGTTGCGCGCACCGCACGAAGCGGCGAAGGAGGGTCAGGGTCGCAGTGCCCTCCTCAAAGCAGCAGTGAGTGGCATGTACTACATACACCCAATGCGAAGGCCTAAAAAGCAAGCGCGCAGGTGCCGTCTAGTTTGGCTGTAGTTGAAGATACTTAGACGCACTTTATGCTCCAGTAAAATTTAGCTCAGTTTGGTTTTCTGAATTTAGCTCTTTAAAAAAACGCCACGTTAATGTTTTCTTTGTGTAGTTCTCTGGGCCATCAAAATAATGCTATGTACTTGAATGTAAACATTTGACAGAAGTCTTTCTGGTTGGGTATGAAACGGGGGGATGATTTAGACTTCAACCAAGAGTTCTGTAGAAACTCGACATTTCGAAACCGACTTGGTTCCTTCCTCAGGGGTGACTGCAGAGGCTACGTAGCAGCGGCGTCTTCAAAGCACTCGCGGGATGGATAATGGCCCCGCCCCCTCTGGACTGTGCTGCACGGCAAAACGAGAGAGAGAGAGAGGTGGGGGCGGGGACATTATCCATCCCGCGAGTGCTTTGAAGACGCCGCTGCTATGTAGCCTCCACAGTCACCCCTGAGGAAGGAACCAAGTCGGCTTCGAAACGTCGGGTTTCTTAAAAACTTTTGCTTGAAGTCTAAATCATCTCCCAATGCTATGTACTGTTTTGAAGAAGCAGTATGGATGTCAGCAATGATGGCGACTTTTGTTAACCACATGCGAAAAGAGAGAAAAAAGACTCTCGTCACTTGTGGTTGACAAGAAACAATGAATCGGGAAGTCAAACACGCATGAAAAACGCTATGGTCACCGAGATGTTGTAGGAATTAGGTTTTGGCGAAATACACTTCTGGCGAAGCGCGGTAGTTTCACGGCCACTTAACAAACATATAATTTTCATGTGGTCAAGAGGAAGCATGAACTATAAGCCAAATTAACTGGATATAACGAACACTCACAAGGAATAATAAGGATCTCGTTTATATAATTCCCTAAGAGAGGGTACCGAATGGCGTTGTGAGTGAATGCGCATGTACACACACACACACACACACACACACACACACACACACACACACACACACACACACACACACACACACACACACACACGCACACAATGCATCAAACAATGAATTCGGAGAACTACATTACTATTGTAGACACCACAAATATCAGCATAATGATAGGCGTCAGTACGCCATCGAAAGTGCACTTTGCCCGCGTTTTCTGCAAGCAACTTTTACAACCTATGACAAATTTGTACCTCTTGCAGTAACATGATATGATTGCAGTGATGTCTAAAAGGTCAGGTACATAACATGGTGTTTTTAGATATAATAACAAGGAAAAACTGCGAGAAGTAGCACAGTTAGTGAGGAGCACATGTATATTGGCAAGCGTATGTACCAATGCACCAATGGCGAGCACTAAGAAGCAGCGCGAGAACGCTTGGCCAGGACAAGGACGAAGAAGACGTTGCTGCATGCATTTTTTTTGAGATTCTGATAAAGCCTATTTGTCGTTCTCCATTTGATTGTCACTCCCGCGTCGTCACAATATTTTCCTGTGTTTGTACAGCCCTGCTCTTTGTCTTAAACGAAAAGAAACTTTCCTTTGCTGGCGAATTTTTAACACATCCAAGCTCATTGCCAACAGGACCCAACAAATTCTTGCGGCGTCTTATATAACACTTCACATAATCTTAAGTGCTCCGACAGCTGTCAAATGGTGAATGCCAAGCTCTGGTGTGGCACGGGTGAATGGAGTCTTATCGAATGTCCGTAAATCCTTACAATCATTGTCGGTCGCAACGGTTGCATTTCAGTTCAGGCGAAATGCTTAAAGCCCATGTGCTGTGCGATGTCAGCGCACGCTAAGGAACACCAGTTGGCCAAAGTTTATTCAGCTTTTCAGTGTGGCATCTATCATTTTCGTATCGGGATGTTAGGACCTAACACCCCAGATAGTATTATATTGCGATCATTGGAATGATTTTTGAAAAGGGGGCAACCCCCCTTCCTTCATCGCTCGTGCGCAGCACAAGGAACATCAGCCACACGTTTTTTGAACAATCGAGGCGAATCTGGTCGACCCCTTTGAATTGGTAGAATGTCAGTCAGGTTGTAAGTTGGCAAACGTGGTCTTTGGTCATTATCCCTTCATTAAAGGTATACCACAATTTCTCCAGAAGTGTGAAACAATGAATGTGATAGCAAAAAGTCGGATTGTTATAGGGACTGAGGCTATCAGCTAATTTGTTTTGATCTGATCTCGCGCAGCTCTGAAGAATGCTGGTGGAAGGGCATGCAGCCGCAAAGGGAAGTGAAGCGCGTTTAGTGCTTTCTGTCGTCTCAACGTGAAGTAAGCAGTGACAGCACTTCATGTTGAAGTGTTTACGAGCCATCTATTGATGCATGTCGAGATAGCGCGTGCGACAGCGCTGGTGACCATGCCCCTTTTGACAAAGGTTCGCCATTGCTTCTCGAGAGACCTCAGTCGCTCCCTTCCCACCTGCGCCCCTTTATGCTCCTTCGATTGGCGAAAAACGGGTGGCGCGTTTTCTCTCTGCTTGAGCAGCCATCGATGGCAGGCCTCGCACACGGTGCGATGTTCTCGCCCGTTTTCTTCGTTTGACAGAGATACCAGCCCGTTTCATTTCTGCGTCAGCCACGTTTGTGCGCAGCTCTCCTGCACTTTTACCTGCACGTGGAACATACGATATGCACGTCGCTGTTATTGATTTATACGGATCACGTAATTGTTGGCAAAAGCCCGCCGAGAGTGTCCATCTAATTGTATAAAAGCCGAGTGTGCTAAATGGCCGGCACTTTCGCGTAGGCGGGTCTTCGTGGTGTCGTGTGGACGGACTGCCTGCAGGCGCTTATCACCCTACTGGCGCCACTGGTGGTCATCGGCAAAGTTGTCTACGACTCGATCACTGGCACAATACCCTTGCGCCCCTTGAACGACATCGACATCAGCAAGTACATACTGGAGTAAGCGAATTCTCTTCAATGCCTAGTCAGTTTACAGCCATGAAAGTTCTGAAGCAAACACTGTCTTCATCCTTAGCCTTCAATAAATTTTAATAAAAAACAATCATCAAACACTTAGCCCATCTCAAAAATGAAGCTAGAAGCAAAAAACAACAGCGTACGGTACTTATGAAGTGATTTTTTCGCGCTCTAAACGTGTCGGGTTATCCCCATTTCATTGCACCAGGTTCTGCTATACGGGCCATAGGACCTGCAGTGGAGTGAATTCCGAGCCAATAAATGTATTATCTCACAGAAGACATAGTACTTTTATACATACAAGCCATGCCCATACCAAAAATTGGTCAAACGTAAAAAAAAACCACAAATGCTTTAGAAAGATTTCTGCTGAAACAGAGGTGATAATGCAGGAAAATTAGGTTAAAAGATAATGATGAAGTATCCTCTAGGAACTATTCTGGGATTCTAGTAGTAAGGTTCCTAAAGCTGACATGATGTTGTTATGTTCACCCGTTGTTTTGTATGGACAGAGCACGTATGTACCAAAGTTGGGGGTTGGCCATGGCGTTTTTTTTTTCTTCAGCTGTTAAGGAGTGCTGACGCGTGATCGAAAGCTCTCAGGAATGCGCAGTTAGAGAGCTTACAAGCGGTTGGTGTACCCCGCTTGGCTGTTGGGTCTGTTTTACAGCAATCGTTAAACCAGTATTAGGTGGACTAAAAGGATGGGACGGCTGCAGTAGCTATGCCCCCAGAAAGGTATAGCAAGATTGCATTCCTTATCGATTTGAGCTGTTTCCCATCGCCTGTAAAATACGGCCGAAAATTACACTACGTAAATGTTGATTTTAATAGCGGCAGGAAGCTAGGGAATGCGTGTGCCTCAATTGAAAAAAAAGTGCGAAAAAGAGGGGTGGCTTCTGTTGAAAACGAGTGTTCCATAAAACCCTTTATGTGGTTCATTGCGCCTGCGGCGTTGTTTATACGCTACCTTTGCCATAAGGTAGCTTCTACGTTGAACAGACAGGAAAAGGTCTCAACATCTGTTTAAGAAAGCATGCTAGCTCTTTGAAGCGCACGCCGTCTTCACATCTTGCCCTTTATTGCCTACTGTGTTGCTGTACACTCGAGCTCAGGTCAGACGGTCGCGGTGACTATAGGCACAAGAGCTATAGCATACTCGGGAAAACACCCAGGAATTCGAAATGATTAGCAAAGCTGTCCTTCTATTGCACTGTTTGATTAGGAAGTGGCTTTTTTGGAAAGTGTGCACTTGTGATCTTCTGCGCATCATACTATAGCTGTGCTTATCTTTGCGGGGATCTATCTATCTATCTATCTATCTATCTATTTATCTATCTATCTATCTATTTATCTGGCCACCTACGTCTCGGTGCTCTCGTGATCGCCTCCTTAGCTTCATGTCGACCAAAATTGACGTGGGAGGGTAAGAGTAATTGGCGAATGTGACTGTCTCATCACGACATGGATAGCGTGAAATTCCTGTAGCGTTTGTCGTCAAACCCTTTCCTACAGATTCGTGTGACACATACTCGTACACCACAAGCCACGGTATGTGGGTATGCGCCACAGCTGATAGGGAGTTTATATCTTCACCCAGGAATGGGGAGGAGGAGGAGGAGGAGGAGGAGGGGGAGGAGGAGGAAGGAAAGAAATGAAAGGCAGGGAGGTCAACCAGACGCACGTCCGGTTTGCTACCCTGCACTGAGGGAAGGGGTGAGATGATTAAATGAGAAGAGAGAGAGAAGTGAAGGGCAACGTGTATGTAGGTGTGACCTTGTCCATTGCACGCTTATAAGCGGTCGCGTAGTCCGGTTGTCATTTAGAAAACTTAGCAGTGCCCGCGTCGCTTTGCTGGCCAGCGACGCCTAGAGCCATGAGCCAAGCATCTTCTCTTCGGAAAAAGGTCTACTGTCTAGTGTCTCCAACGTTTCGCGTAGCAAATTGCGTTCGCTCGCAAAACGTTCACATGAACACAGTAGATGTTCTATTGTCTCGTCAGTGTCGCACGATTCACATCGGTAGCTATCCGCCATTCCTATGCGAAAGGAGTACGCCTTTGTAAAAGCTACTCCTAACCACAGGCGGCACAGTAAAGTTGCATCCTGGCGGGAAAGGTCCGATGGAACTTGAAGCTTCCTCGATGGGTCCAATTTGTGTAGGCGGCGGTTCCTGACACTGGGGTCACTCAGCCAAGTTTCCGACATGGTGTTAGCGAACGAGTGATGGCCCCTTGCAGCGTCGGTTCTCGACAATGGAATTGGGGTTGTCTGGGCGTCCGCGTGGGCGGATCGGGCAGCATTATCAGCAAGGTCATTACCGACAATACCACAATGTCCCGGTAACCACTGGAACACCAAGTCATGTCCTTTCGATAAAACTTCGTGAATCACTTCTCTTATTTTATTCAATAGTTGTTGATGCTCCCTCTGTCGTAAAGCTGATTGCAAGCTCTGAAGGGATGCCTTGGAGTCACAGAACACAGCCCATTTTTGAGGTCAGGCTTCCGCGATATAAAGTATAGCAGCACGTAAGGCGGCAAGCTCCGCTGCTGTGGATGTTGTCCTATGCGACAGTTTGAGCTTTATAGTGACCTGGTACGCCGGGATGACAACAGCACCTGTGGAGCTGTCAGCCGAGACCAATCCAACGGTGTAAATGTGGGTCCTCTGGCCGTATTTTTCGTTGAGTAGCGACAATGTCACCTGTCGTAGGACCACTGTTGAATGATGGCTCTTGTTCGTTATTCCCGGAATAGTGAGGCACACCTGTGGTTGTTGTAGGCACCACGGGGGTGACGCTGGTCTTGTTGCGGGAGTGAAGCCAAAAGGGAGGCTTTCTCTATGGGCAGAAATAATCATTGAAAAGATCGCGTGTGGTCTTTGAAGCGGCAACACTGCAACATGGTGACCAGGAACTCGGCAGAGGTGTCTTATGTGGGCTCTCAAATTGTCAGTGGTGATGTATGTTCGAATTGGATGCTCTCTTGCGATCATAATTGCCCCGTAGGTTGAGGTGCATCGCGGCAATCCTAAGCACACGCGTAGTGCTTGACCTTGCAGACTTTCGAGAGTGCGGATGTTCGTCTTGCACGTACTTGCCAGTAACGGCAAGCTGTAGCGCAAAAATCCCAGAAACAGTGCTCTGTATAGCTGCATCATTTACCTTATCGACGCGCCCCAAGATTTTCCGCAGAGGAACCGCATTATATGGACAATGGAAGTTAGCCTTCTCTTCAGGTAATTGCAGTGGGCACACCACGAAAGGTCCCTGTCAATAATCACACCCAGGAAGCGATGGTTCTTCTGGTATGGAATATTTTGTCCGCTGATGGTAACGGGGTATTGTGTCATGGCTCTGCGGGTAAACGCAACCAATGCACATTTCTCCGTTGAGACGGAAAGACCTTGCTTGCGGAGATATGAGCATGTCAAGGTGGCAGCCTGCTGGACTCTTGTACGTACTTGTAGACGAGTTACAGCCGAAGTCCATAGACAAATATCGTCAGCATATATGGATATGAGGATGGTACTTGGCAAAATTTCACGAAGTCCTACCATCACGAGGTTAAATAAAGTGGGACTTAATACAACGCCCTGAGGGACGCCACGGGAGGTATAGTAATTGGTGGTAGGTCCATCTGAGGTTTGTACAAAAAAGGACCTTCTCGTCAAATAATCCTGGATCCATTGGAACATCCGACCACCGATTCCAACAGCTTCCAACGAGTCTAGGATGGCTTGATGTGTTACGTTATCATAAGCCCCTTTGACGTCGAGGAAGAGTGCCAGTGGTATGCGCTTGAGGCTCTTATGTTGCTGGATAAATGTTGTGAGATCAATCACGTTGTCAAGAGATGACCTACCTCGCCGAAAACCCGTCATGCAGTTTGGGTATACGTTGTAGCGCTCAAGGTACCATTCTAGGCGTGTAAGTATCATCCTTTCCATGACTTTTCCTACGCAACTTGCAAGGGCAACAGGGCGAAATGATGTCAAATAAAATGGTGACTTTCCTGCTTTGAGTAGTGGCACAAGTCGACTTATCTTCCAATCCTGGGGTACATTGCCCGCCAGCCATGAGTGGTTGTAATAGCTTAACAACTGTCCCCTTGCCTCCTGTTGAAGGTTGGCTAGAGCGGCGTAGGTGATGCCATCGGGTCCTGGTGAAGATGATCGTCGGGAAGCCGCCAAAGATGCGTCAAGTTCTTCTATAGTGAAAAGATTGTCCATTTCGTAGATGCGGGGTTCAGGGATAACACTCCTAATGGTGCCAGCAGACAAGTCGGACACACCAGCGATTCGCGTACAAAACTCATTTGCCACTTCAAGTTGGGTGTGGCCTGAATGTAGGGCTAAAGTCATGAAAGGATGTCTTTGTTGGGGAGTCGAGCGCCGGCCACGAATAGTGCTCCAGTTGTGTGACAGCGGCTTTCGGGGATCCAATGATTCGCAGAATGATTTCCGGCGTTCACGTTCAAGTTTGTCTAAACGTCGTTGGGCTTTTTTCTGTATGCGTCGTGCCAGCCTCAAGTCGCATATTGCTTTCGTCCGCCTGTATCTTCTTTCCGCTCTTCGGCGAAGCGCGCACAGTTTTTCCAGTTCAACGTCGAAATCTGAACGCTTGCCGGTGAACGGGAGGAGACAGGAAGCTTCCCTCATTGCCTCTTTGATGACATCCTCCAAGTTCTGGTCAGGGTCTTCACGGCATGTATTTTCCATGAGTCGCTGAAACTTGGACCAATCAATTCTTCGTATTGTGGTCTTAGGAAAGGAGTTAGTAAGACCCCTTATTCGCATATAAGTTGGAATGTGGTCACTCCCATGCGTTTTGATGTCTGAAAACCAGTGCACTTGCGACCGGAAGTTTCTGGATACCAGAGTCAAATCAAGGCAACTGCTGTGCGTAAGGCCCCGCAGGTATGTAGGACTGCCATCATTTAAGAAACATAGGTTATGCTTGGAAGCGAATGACACGAGGTTTCTTCCTTTAGCGTTGATCGTCGAACTACCCCAGATTAAGTGATGTGCGTTGAAGCCTCCAGTTATAACGCACGGGCCCGTAGTTGTTGTCAGTATGTCTCGTAGTCGGTCTTGTTCAAATCGTCCGGATGGTGATATGTAGACACCAATGAGTGTGAATGACACTTTTCCCTTTTTAACACGTAAGCAGACATATTGATTGTCATCATGCGGTTGAACTGCATGATGCACATATGTGAAATCTGTGCGAATGTAAACAACCACCTTGCTGCTTTCCTCGCACGTTGAAGAAACGAAAGATTCATACCCTGATAGTTTAGGAGGTTGTTGCATGTTTGGTTCACATATAACTATCATAGAAATACGATTCATGAATATATACTGACAGAACGAAGATATGCGGGATCTCAGGCCTCTCGCGTTCCACTGCACTATCGACGCTTGTTGGACCTCGTTGCGGAAGGAGAAAATTGGTCGAGCCATGGTTGCTACTGGAGACTTGCAAATACTGGACTTAGAGCATCCAGTACTTGTAGTGCACTCTGAGCGAGTGGAGACTTCAGGCTGCTGCACAGCTTTCGCATGGCATCCAGCAGTGTTCGGAACATTCTGATGACTTCTGTGTCCTCCTCAGGCAGCTTGTCAGTGGCTGGCTAGAGTGATGTGACTGTCGATGTGCACTTGGGATTTGCAGGTGGCTGTGATTTCGGCAATGAAGGCCAAACTGATTCATCTGCAACAGTGCTGCTCGTTGGTTTGTTCACCGCGCTGGCCGCCTTCGGTCTGGGAGGCAAGGGCGGTGGAAGAGAAGGGTGGTGGAGTGGTGCTTTCGATGCAGCGTCTGCGGCATTCTTTGATGAACTGCGGCGACGGTGATGCCTCTTTTGGACGGTCCTGGCAGCCTCTCGATGCGACAAATTGTCTCTGACCATTTGTTTCAATACCGCTATTTCTCTTCGGATTTTGGGTCATTCTTTTGACAAAGCTTCATGTGACCCATGACAATTCGAGCATTTGAGGGTAGTTGCTTCGCAGTCATCCGCAGAATGGGCTTCCGCGCAACGAGGACACACCGTCCTATTTTCGCATACGCTTCTCACGTGGCCCATCTTCATGCACTTATAACACTGTAAGGGCTTCGGTATGAAAGGTCGCACTGAATGCCGAAAATGGCCCACCTTTACGTGTGAAGGAAGACAGTCGCCCTTGAACATGATCTTCAAGCAGCGTGAGTTTCCCAAACGGACAACTTTTGCGATGACGCTGGCTTCATTTACCGGTTTGACCAGAACATCGAAGTCGGAGCTGGGAATGGCAGTATCCACATTGTAGATGACTCCAGTGACGACGTTAGAGCTCACAGGAATGTAGGAGCGAACTTTCATTCCCCCCAACTCGTTGACGTTGCGCAGTACATTAAGTGCCGCAGCATGCAAAACGTCGATAGCCAATACGTTCTTGCGCGTGTTCACTCTGATGTCTGTGATCTCGTTTGGCACGAGTCCTTCCAGCATCACCGAAACAGATTGCCTGTTGAGGCGCTTCATGTTACCGTCCGGTACCTCAGGGACAAAAAGGATAGTGTTTGTCACGGGTCTCCTTGGCACTCTGTCATTCAACGTACTCGATGACGAAGATGTTCTGATGTTCCGCCTCTTCGCTTTACGGCTCAGCACCAGCTGAAAATCGTCGTCGTCAGAAGGCTCTTCGCTGCTCATTTAGTAAACAAGAGTGCCCTCGCTGTCGTAGTCGCTGTAGAGTCCCGTACGCTTCCTGGATGCGGCCACCGCCGACGCCGCCGTAACTGGCGGACGTCCGTGGGGGTCCACGTCCATCACCGACGGACACGGATGTGATAATCGCGAAGTTCACTAACAATTAGGTGAAAAAAGAGAGCACCTACTGAAACTGCGATCTGCTAAGCAATCACTCCGTCGTCGTCTCCCGAGGAACGGGGAGAACCGACATTTCTCTTTTATGTCATATTTGGAAAAACTGTTTTAAATCTTTCAACCGATAATGCGGCGATATTCGTTTCATACTTGACTCGAGAATTCCTTATTAAAATATAGAGAAAAAAACTCGAGAAGTTAAGATTCACGCACCGTGCGATAGAACGAAATGTGATAGACACCAAGAAAGGGAATGCGTAGTTGCGGATTGCAGGGCATTATACGGAGAGAAGATCTTTACAAAACTTTAGATGCCAAATGGAATCAGAACGCGCGAGGTAGGCTAAATTGTAGATTATTTGGAGAGGTTTTCAGCCAGCAGTGAATACTTAAATCATGAAAATTATGACAATGATGATGACAAAGATGACGGAGGCGAAGGTGGCACCCAATCAGCTTCGTCACTACTGTCTGTGCCACAGATTTCAGTCTCTTCCTTCTTTCCTTCCTTGGTAACTATTGGAGTTCACAGTCATCCCTGCTTCTCTCCCTTGAAGGCGCTCCAGCCATATAAATTACCTTTTTCAACAATCTAAGATTCTTACCCCGGTGAGTTTGTGACGTAGATTCAGAGTACTTTGAATTTTCACACCCTCAAGTCATCCTAGAGTTGGATATTTTCTCATTAAAACTTGGCCCGTATTGCAGGGCGCGTTGTGTTTTGTGTAAAGTGAAGCTTTTGTACGCAAAACATTCAAATTTTTTTCCAACTCTCGTAATCACTTCCTACGAGTAAGAGAGAAGCCAGTGGTTGGTGCGAATTAATCTTGTCTTACTGAATTCTTTGTGTGGGGATCGCAGCGCCAGAATTGACTTGACCAAGGACGAAAACGTGTGGTCCTGCCTCGTCGGAGGTGCGGCGTCTTTCCTTTACCGGCTGGGGTTCGACCAGATGGTTCTGCAGAGATACCTTGCATCTAGAAACCTCAGTGCTGCCCAGAGGTTTGTGCAAAGAAGCATCTAAATGATCCTCATATACAACTTCTTGAGCATATTCTGTGCAAATGCGAAAATACCCAACAATCCACGTCACCTAACGATAAATAAGCGCAATATTTTACTTAGTACCGGGAAACCAGGTAAGTTGCAAAGCCAATACAATAGCTGAAACAACCATTTGCATTTGTCTGAAAGGAGTGGATGCTAATATGTATTCAACTGAACGCAACAACATCTTAATAAAACAGTAGACTGTTTACGCGGGTGTATAACTATCTATACTGCGCGAGTCGCACTGCTCGCAGTCTGCTGCGATAGCTTAGCTTTTAAACAAGAAAGGTGTTTCTAAGAAGAGTAAGTGAAAAAACTGTCCCCCCGTCACTTCTTCTTTCACGTAACAACATCAATAGCCTTAGCGAAATAAATCTATAAAAAATAGATTTCCTCGGCGTTGCTGGGGCGGAACCGAGGCCCCAACGCTGTTAAGGCGTGAGTCTTAAGCACTGTTCTACCCAACCACGCTTGCAGAATGTGTATATATCTGACCTATATGAATGCTTCGTACCCGGAGTGCAAAACAAATCTGAATGAGGAACATTTTTTTGTGAAGGTCTAGTTGAATTTTGTGGTAGTGAAGTGAAAACCTTCTCTAGGAAACATGTAATGTCGACGTGGGAAATTGTATGTATCAGAAAAATTACTACTTTGGGAACATGTGATGCCAAAGACGCGTTTACGTAGTTGCGCAATGCACCTGCTGTGGGGCCGTTGCATACACTGGTGAGAGCTTGAAAAATGATACAGGCTACGCCAATGCCACCCGAAAACAAAGTTCCAGGACAGATCAAACCTACAATAACAGTCTACGCTTACGCACCAGTTAGACAGCTCTCAAAGATTATTCGCGACCATTTTGCTACTTTATTTGACTTCTGATGTTTTTTCACGTATTTATTGAAGATAGTCAAAGGAAGCAGAAGCAACACTAGCATGCAGTAAGGCGGGCACCCTCGCAGAGGAACTATGTAGGTGTCTGTCTTTTTTCATGACATCAAACCATAACCACTAGACCACCGTCGTCGATGCCCTTACAAAACTTCTTATTGAAAAAACAAAGAGAAGTTATTGAGCAATGGCAACAGATGGGATGGAAAATAAATGACGGTTCAATTAAAATACCGCTGAGGAAATTGTTCACTACTATTGAAAATTGGCCCATGACTTTCAATTGAAAGCCATCAATGAGCTCGATATAGATTTATCATTGAGAGAAAATAAATGGCGATGGAAAATACGTTGTGGATCAATTGAAATATCACAAAGGCAACTGTTGCCAAGCATTGAAAATTGGCCCACGACTTTCAATTGAAAGCCATCAATGGTTCATTAATGCGGAAAAAAATTCATTTTTGTGCACTCGAAAGCAGTTTCTCACCAATAATGTGGTAGATATTATTACCACAAGTGATTAAAAAACCTTTAGTATCACAACCACCTATATCTGAGGACCACCCCATTACTGAAATTGAACTCGGGCCCTCATGCACGTGAAGCAGATGTCATACCCACCGCGTGAAGGCGAGGCATTTTGCGGGTATATATCTACCAAGTGGCTTTTTGCAAACCGTTGGTAGAGCTTTGAATTTTTTTGTGCCATATGCATGTTTTTGCGCATACATTCGATCATCGCATTGCTTGTACGGCTTCATGAACTCGAGACAACAACGGTGAGCGCTTTCGGGTTCGACTTCGGTTCGTGGTGCGACACTCTACAAGAACGATTAACATGTGTTTGTGCGTCGTTTTAGTGCTTCTTCGTGAACCACGGGTGTTTCGCTCACCGAAATACGTGGATACCAGTGTGATGAGGCTGTGTTCGGCTGTCGAAACCTACTTATGTTTCTCGCAAGTGCGTGGCCTGTGAGCCATTTCACTGATTTGTGTCGGGAGGTACACGCGTGTCAGTGACAACAGCCCATTCTCAGCTGTTTGAAGGCAATGCGCTTTCGCACGTGAACTTTGCATGGGTATTTTAGCGTGCCTACTCCAACATTTGTATTTCGTACACGCGAACTGCCGCGAGCTGCACGCTGGGGCAGCAGCGCCGTTTTAGAATTTCGACGATTACTTATTTCTGCAATTAGAATTTATGCGCATTCTTTCTATATATAGAGTGGTTTTTACTTTTTCAGTCTTTAACTGATCTTATTTATGGGAAGTGGCTCTTCTTACCTTTATTCAGCATCACACCACTGCTCAAGTGAATGCCAAAACGCGCACCAAGCTGAAGTATGACGTACACAAATTAGCTGCGGACAGGTAGGTCTCCCTCCAAATAAATAATGCTTCTGCACATCTCTTTCGTGAACGTCCGCGTGCAGATGGGGTCATATATATTTCGTCCATGGTTTCTTTGATAGAAATGAGACAATAAAAATTTTATTGTGAAGTGATCAACAGAAACATTGTTTACAAAATCGTTCGTCGATGGTTATTTGATAGAAATGAGACAATAAAAATGTTCATTGGAAAATGTTCAACAGAAATATTGTTTACGAAATATTTCGTTCATGTTTTTTTGATAGAAATGATATGATAAAATATTTATTGCTAAGTGCTCAACAGAAATATTGTTTATGAAATACTTCCTCAATGGTATTTCAATAAAAAGAAGTTAACGACATTTTTATTGCAAAATGCTCAACAGAAATATTGTCGACGAAGTATTGAAGGAAGTCAATGAGTATTTTGGAACCATTGATGATCAATTGAGTCAATCATTCAATCTCAGTCCGACGATTGAAAATAAGGGTATTGACATTAAACAATGGTACTACAGAAAAACTAAAGTGCTTATATGGAGCATGTTTTGATGACACGGAAGTAACGCTGCTTGAGAGAAAGCTGATTATACATCGCGTTCCGTTCCCCTTCCTGGTGATTCTCGTGTCACCTTGCAGAACTGCCATAGTCGGAGTATGGTTTTCCGCTCTGTACTACCTGGTTCTGATGGCAGGAGCTGCAGCCCTAATCTATAGGTTTCGAGACTGTGATCCGCTGCTGTCTAAATCCATATCAACGGTGGACCAGGTAAATCAAAGCGCATTCCGCACACAGCCACGTGTCAATACCTGTAAATCAGAGCCTTGCACAATTCATCTCGACTATTTCCTGCAGATTCTCCCTTATTACGTGAAAAATGAGCTGGCACCTGTGTTGGGATTTTCTGGTATATTTCTGGCCGGAGTAGTGAGCTCCTCTACAAGGTGAGTCATGACACTATACGCATGCAATGTCCGACCCCTCAAAACATGCGATATGTCGCAAACTTTGCACGCAGTGTTCTGTGACGTTGGTTCTCGAAGAACTAGATACAGAAACCAGCATAATGCAATAGCTTGTTTTGCTCTATGTTATGCTTTTTTTAGTATGCGCCATATGCGACAATTGCACGCTGTTGATGATGTACACGCACACCAGAATTGTATTCTGCCCACTGAAGAATATTAAGAATTAAAAAACAGGTTTAGTTATGAAAACCACCATGTGGAAGTTAGAGACGCCGTAGGGGTGGGCTTCGGAAATTTGGAGCATCTGGGGTTTTTTAAATGCATCTAGGTCTAAGCACATGGGCATCAAGCATTATCGCTTCCATCGATTGATTGATATGTGGGGTTCAAGGTCCCAAAGTATCCATCTAAAATGTGGCCACCATGGACGGGACTCTATCTCACAACCTGCGGATCAGCAGCCAAATGCCTTAGCCACTAGACCACCGGGGCCGGCTAAGCTCATATTTGGCTCTCGCATGTTCCGCTCTAATGAACAGACATAGGACGCGCAATGTTCAGCATTATCTCAGCGTGGTACGGTTGGATCCCGTGGCTGAATCTATACTTGTCACACTTCTGGTGCGAACCACGTAAGCGTTTTTTTTTTTGGGGGGGGGGGGGGTGGGTGTAATGTCCTTGTAAACATCATCAAAGCAAGAAAACAAAATTTTCTTCAACAGTTCTCAAGCGCTTACGCCAATAAATTCTCGGCTGGTATCCCCATAAGCGCATTGTGCTTGCATTTGTGGTAAAAGAAAGTTCAAACCAAATATTATGCTGGGCATACCATATAGAGCAAGATTCTCAAACGCGTGGCCCACGGCTTTCCACTGAATAATTTTTTTTTACATTGCTCACCGAGGCCTGTAATAGAACCCGCGATCAACGTGCATTGCAGCACATCATAGCTTTGGCGAAGCCCCCTCGGCTTGCCGCTGAAATTTGAGCACCAATAGTGCAAAAGTTCGTCACTGTGCGGACTTGATACTCAATACTCAAAAATGAATAGTCACCGCTTTTCAATCGATCTGGCACCTCGTTTTGTTTCAGCGCTGTTTCATCCATCATCAACTCGCAAGCGGCCGTCTTGTACGTCGACGTTGCTTCCCAGTACTTCCCAATAAAGGAAGCGTGGGCTTCCAGGGCTACAAAAGGACTTGGTAATCTTGGAATTTACCACAAACCTTACACCACATATTAGGCGCAGTGCAAGGTCACTTTATAGTTTCACAATACACTTAATCGCTATATCCTGTCTTAGAAAATTTACCTCTTATTATGACATGTCCGCGATAACCTACACCTTTATTGCGGTTGTCTACCCCTTCCATTAGGCCACTTTATACCAGAGAGGCCTTGCAACACTCTCCCAAGTAGCGAAATAACGGTTCGATTAAAACAGCTTATTTCCTCATGAATAAAGTCCCGCAAGTACATTTAGAATCCACCAAGTGCTAGCGTCGTACCAGTGAGGGTGCTGAAAGCTACGCTTGGCGGGGGGGGGGGGGGGGGGGGCGTGACAAGAAGTGAGAGTGTGTGTCCATTCATCAGCCGTGTCATGGTCTAAGACACTTTCTTTTTAATGTTTTCCTCGAGCGCGACGCTTGCTTTGAGCGTAATCGCGAATGCGAGTGTGGGCACCCACGTGGTAACACGCTGCGGCTCCACGGTAGCTATGCGGCTTGTGGTGCTCAAATCAGCTAACAACCATGAACTGTGGGCATGTGGCGCAGTAATTTTGGTGTATGAAATAAATTGTAAAAAGAAGAAGGAGCGATTTGTAGCTGCATTTTAGAATAAGTTGTAAGTTCCAGGCCACCAGTTGCGCTATAATATTTGCTTCACGTGTTCTCAGGAGCCTTGGACTTCTGATTGGCAGTGTTTCCTACCATGCTGAACAAGTGTTGCAGGGCCCCTTTAATAATTAAAATAGCATCCTAATGCGTAGCTTTTTCCCTGCACAAACGAAAGCACACAGTTCACTTCTTTATTTATTTCAGCTCACCTACGTCATTTCTACTTATATACTAATTTTATACATTTAGACCCTCTCCCAAATTGCACAACCTACTTTGTGCACGAAGAAAAAGAAAGAAAGAAACAAAGAAAGAAATACGCGATGCTTACAGGAAATCGCGAGACAAGTACCCACATACGCAGTTACTGTGCGTTCGTGACTGGCTTTTTTCTTACAAATGCTCATTTTCAGCCTTTGCATCAGGTATAGTTATGACTGCTTACAGCCTGGCGGTTCCTTTCATTGGCTCTACGATGAGAGTAAGTACACGATATGAAAATGTGCAATATTAGAAATGAAGATGACAGTCTCCGTGTGTTAACACTGCTGACAAAAAAAATCTATTGTTCAAGCAGATTTGGGTTAAATGCACCATATTTGTCACAGGCCAATGACTACTGTTTCATATTAAGGAACTGACTTAGCCTCTGTAACACGGAGAAAGCGACAAAGGTACGGGTTCGTCAATCTCAAGAGGCTAAGGTATCGCGAGAAGCTGAGGTTATTGGCTGCTGTTAACACAGATGCATTACGCGTTTCTGTTTTCTTGGGCACCGAACGCGACAGTACGTATTACATGAGTATAATAGAGTAGGGTCCTGGCTGCATGGTTTATAAAAAACACTTCAATATTGACGACAGGCAATGCATGTCTAGAAATTCAGTTCAGATTATGCAGAGTGGAGTTTTGGCGTCTCGGCGGCTGTCATGTGCACCTCGTCAAGTGAGCGTATTGTAGTTCACTGGCTTATTAGGACTACTTCCAGCAGACTTAACAATTAAATTAGCCCGATTATAAAAATATCGTTGTCACTAAGCAACACAAATATTATGCTATTCCTTGCATCATACTGTCCCACACAATTAAGATAAAAAAATTGGTAGCAGAAATTAAACGCTCACGTGCTTCGCCTTTCGGAATCAACCTTTTCTCATATTTTGGTGTCTGCCGAGTGCGTTCGCTACATCTTTTTTGTCGCCTTGTTATGTGCTAAATGAACAAAATACTGGCCTGGTGCTCGAAGAATTGATGTGACGCATAGAATGTTTGTGAAAGAACAAACTCGCCAACCACGATGGCGGTGAGCAGAAGCTGTTTGTCTCCAATCAGCATACTATATTTAGAAAAGAGAAAGAAAACGAAGCGCACAGCATAGTTACTTACTAATAGCTAAAAAATGTTCAAAAGCACTTCGCTTTTTATCTAAGACAAAACGAAGCAGAAAAAGAAGCTATAGAACACGAAGGGCGAAGAAGAAGGACGGAGACAGTCAAATAATGTGAATCGCTTGAACAAACTAGCATACAATTTCACAGGACAAAGATTTTTTAAAAACCACAAACTATATACGGCCTCCTTCTTGCGTGCACTTTCCACTTCATTTTGTAAAGAAAACGTGAACTGACAAGTACACGCGGTAGTTATTCGCGCATACTTCAAGTTACGCAAAGAACTCAATTATCTTCTAAAACAACTCTGCAGTGACCAAATGTAGTTTACACTGAAACCTTTTAACTAGTTTGACATATAAAGTGGCAGTGGAATATTCACATATAGCTAAACTAATTGCGCATGGTTAACAACGCTTATGGTTGCAATTACTGTTGTCAGTATTTTGAAACAGGAAGTTCCCCGTCGATACTCCCGCTTCTCAATAGCCAGCAATGCGTTCTTGCTGATTTTGCGCAAAGGTTGCAACACTTCATTATAGGTGCGTGGGGTACGGTGGATGAGTTGCTTGTACTTTCATTTCAAACTCCTAAATAGCAAAATTTGTTGGCAGATTTTCGTGCTGATCAACAGTGCCGTGACGGGCCCCTTCGTCGGCCTCCTCGTGCTCGCAATCCTCTTCCCTTTCGCCAACTCCAAGGTGAGCATAAAAACTGTTTGGCATGTCATGACTTCTCAGCGGCCGAAACTTTACGAAATTGGCAGGATAACGGAAGGGCACACACACGCATGTTAATTTCACACTCCAGAACAGTAAGAAAAATATTTCTTTTGGCAACGCGCGGCCAATAACTGACCAGGTGAATTGGAACTAAAAAACGCACGTGCTTTCTTCACCTCTAATCACCTCAAACCACCTGGCATTTAAACAGGAAAACAAGTGCAGACACGTGCAGTTCATTGCCGTTCATTATATCAATTGTCACCCGTGAAGAAAATGCGAAGCCTACCAAGCTGGTGACTGTAAATATGAATAAGTACGTAACAGTGTTCATTGTGTATACCTTACACGTGCTCAAGATGCGCGAGAAAAAGAGAATGCGCGGCTAATGGGCAGATCCTAAACCCGTCTATCTCGCCTCTGCCCAATGTTCTTATGTCGAGATGTACACTTGTCTATACTCGTATATTCGCTCTTTTCTCCTGATGCACTGTCTCAAGCAAATTCAAGAGAAAGGGTAAGTTCAACTCGACATTTTCTTGCCAACTCAGAGTACTGAGCACGTCACCAGGTACATCTGTTTAGTGGCATATTATGTGCTTCCACCGCAAGTTTTATAGGCATTGTGCACAGCTTCTTCAAGAGCAGCAAAGGGTTTGTTTCTATTTCTACGTTTTATGCTTAAATGCGTTTTGTTCCCACTGTGGCGTCACTGTTTGTCATGATACAGAGTGAGCGTGTTTTGGTTTCCGGCACAGACTTTCAAGATCACGTGTATGAACTTACATCGCTGGTCCACGTTCACTCTCCTCTGTAGGGAGCAGGAGCGGCGGCATGTCTTACCATTGCCTTCCAGATATGGCACATGATCGGTAGACTGCGAAGCGGTATCCTTCCTGATCGCATGCCGGTAACAATGGACTATTGCGCCGACAATACGACGACCGAATTCAATACGACACAGTATCTGTCAAACACGACGAACTTCGCACGGTATGTGCTCATTCATTCATTCTGGGGCCGCCGTGCTAAATTATAATATTTTATGTTTGCACCGACGGTGACATACCTCTTGTTTGCGTTGTTTCATCTAAAGCTTACATGTCTACCACGAAGTCATAGTTTTTTTTTCGCAACACAGCTTCGGGTGTTGTCTGCTTAGTCATCAGCCTTCAGTACGTAGCCGTTTGACATTATTGTACGTTTTTAATGAGACAGCATCACTTGGCTAATTTGATCCCAATGTTACGAAAAATCTATAGCCAAAAATCAGCTCACAATTTACGTCATTCTGAGGCTGTTTATGCGATTGTTCGCGAAACTAAGCATTGCAAACCAAAACGCTGAAAAAACTATCGTTACGAAACAAACGTTGGTGGACGATTGACTAAGTGGCTCTCGAAAGTGACCATCAGATCCAGCAACTGCGGCGCGAGCATTGTGAGCTGCAGTTAATTAACGCCAGTGCGAGAGAGGGGCACATTATAGCCTGCTCACGCCACAAGAAACAGATGATGAACGCGCAAGGCACAAGAAATAAGTGGATAGATACCACACAGTCCACGTGATGAAAAAGACCACCTGCGAACGCAGCAACGTTCCGGCGCAACGCTAAACTGAGTGACTCAGTTAGCGACAAACAATGCTCTCGCATTTTCCCATCACAGCGATTGCTTGGGCACCCTTGTGTATTTCTTAATTAGGCTGGTTTTAGAAAAAATCTCCTACGTGGTAAAAGACATCGCGACGCTAGAAGCATTCATACAAGAAAAGGAATAAATGGATTACGGGCAGCGTCCCACGCATCACCTGCATCGTATACTCATTGCGCGAACTCGTATGTAGGCCACAGCGTGTACTACATATATCTCTACTATAACTGCTGGCGCTGGTGAATCGGTGGACGCCGCACCGAAGCGTCGGACCATGCATGCTGTGAGCGACGCACGCCGTGCACACAAGCGTGCATTGGAACCAGTGCCTCGTTGCCTAGAAGAAGATAAGCTACCTGGCGCACGATGGCGGCTGATACTGGGATGCATAAATGTCGTTCCTGCGGCGTTGGCGTTTTCTGCGTGCTATGACAGGAGTGGGCGACTTTCACATGCTTCCTGCGGGTCTTTCTGCGATGCCAAAAGTTACATGACCATGCAAAATGCCGCGCCAGTGACACAAACACCCTGACGTTCTGATAGTATATTTCATTAGGAAGCGTGTACTCACGTCTCACGTACGACTTAAACAACTAGAATGTCTATTTATCTATTTATCTATCTATCTATTTATCTATCTATCTATCTATTTATTTATCTATCTATCTATCTATCTATTTATTTATCTATTTATCTATCTATCTATCTATCTATCTATCTATCTATCTATATATATATATCTAGCCCCCTACGTCTGGGTGCTCTCGTGATCACCCCATAAACTTGGAGTAAACTAAAAATAGCATGGAAGGCTAAGATAGTTTAAAGAATATGACTCGCTTGTCATGACACGAATATTGTCACAATCCTGTTTTGTAGGTCGTCAAATACTTGCCGCCAGATGTGTGGCACATGCCCGTTGGTGGGTATGTTCCGCCCGAAAGTATGTGCTGTCCAAAAGGCCTGAAAAGAGTGAAGAGGCATGGCCTCCCAATTCCAACAGATTCCGACATGGGAGCAGGCAGCAGCGAGCCGAGGGCCCCAGTGGATTCTTCCTGGCTAGTCCCTCAGGACCTTATTGAAATTCTTTATCTTTCTGTCTGTCGGTCTCTCTGTCTTTCTGTATCTCTGTCTGTCTTTTATCAGCAGCATTGACGCAACGAATGCTAAGAATAAATGCCAGAGTCTCAGAAGGAATCAAACTCCTGCATTTTGCGTGGCAAATAAGTGTTCTACCAAAGAGCTACGCCAGGTTTCGGAACTTCTTTTCAAATAAACTCTAAAGTTCGTGTAGTGTCAACTATTCTGCAGTGCTGGACTTGACTACATGCAATGCTATGGTCACTTATATATATATATATATATATATATATATATATATATATATATATATATATATATATATATATATATATATATATATATACTGCGTAAAGTCTTAAGTTTTATGTTTTACAGATATGGACAAAGCGTCTCGCCTACGCAGATGCTATATCAGAGCTGGGCTTTCCCACGTTGATAATCTTTCAGTGCTGTTCTAACTCAAATATTTATACCTCAGCCTGCATAACAAGATAAAATAGTTTCAGACGCCTACATTTCCCACAACACTTCTGAAAAAACCTGTTAAAAGTACCACCTGATACTCCAATAGTTCGTTTGCACCGACAATGCGTTTAGATTATCGTTCTTTCCTGGCTGTTCGGGAATGGAGCGCTGTATAGGAGATGGTGGTCACTGTTAACAAATTTGATAAATTTGCTGGCCAAGCACCGCTATCAGTACCACGTTAACGACACTATCATTGTTGCATTTATTATTGTCCATCTTAGCTCTATATTAAATATTTGTGATGTAACATGGAAGAGTTGTCAATGTTATGCGATGGGCTTGCTTTTTTTTTAATTTTATTTGGTGGGGGTGCTTACATTTTCCTGCAACACTTTATAAGTAACTGAGGCAAAGTGTACTTGCGTTACTTTTCGCGCTTCTTAATATCATAGGTCGATGATGATTATCATATCTTATTGTTGCTTTTTGTGACCCTATGTAACTATTGTATAACTTTGTGCGTGTGTATGACGATTCTTGCACTTTTTAATCCCACTTCGGTAAACGTCCCTTACGGGATTGACAGTATTACTAAATAAATTGAGAAATGAATAAAAAACAATAAAGTATTACATACACCCCTAAATATCGTTGCATATTTCTGTAACTTCGCTGAATATGCACTTTCAGAGGGCAGGGAGTAGCAGTTAATATTATTCTACAAAAGAGTCTTCAATATAAAAGAATAATTTTATATCTCTAGCACATATTTCAATTGCATTTACTGATTAAGATTGCTTTTCATATTGCAAACTTAATCGAGGCTAGTGCGCTGATATTCATTCATGGTGTTTTAACTGTCAGAACTACGACAGATCATTAGGCACGTTGTTCAGGGGGAATTGCATTACATGGGCTTCTTTAACTCTTTTATACACAGAACTCTATTTTTAATGGGACACAGATTTATTTTAAAAATGGGGAAATCTATTGCAGAGAATAGTTTTCTCGCAAAAAAAAACAAAATAATTGGAAATTTTAGTTATAAGTATATGAGCATGTCCCCCTAGGTGACCACCATGCAGTAAGGGTCTATACTGGCCACCTTCGGTGAAAGTACAGCTCTTTATTTCCATAGCCGTAGCTTAGCTACTCATACAACATGCTCTCTTCCACTATCAGCGTAGTAGGAACAGCATATACTTATATACTTATAAAAATATCTTAGACTCGCCGTTTAGCACGCCTTGAGGACAACGCCAGCCACAAGAAATGAAACGTAACATTTCGCATTGAAGCCTAAATGAAGTAGCGTCACTGTTAGATGGCCAAATGCTTTAAAATATGCGCCGTTAAAATCCGACGCGTGGGGCTCAAGTGTTTCAAGAAAGAAAATAAGAAAAGGTGGTTACCTGGGGTGACCATCATGCTTGAAAGAGTGAACGTCCACATAAATCTATACGTACGCGCAGCCATTTCACACCTCATTTAAGCGTGGCCACGATAGCCAGGGATTAAATCCACGCTGTCGAGCTCAGAAGCTCTGTAAAGGAACCCCTGCCAGTCTGCACGTCGTTGTAGAGCTGGCTATACTCACACTAGAAATTCAGACAGCGTTAAAGACCAGTCAAATAAGCACACGGAAAGCAGCGCTGACTCACTTTATGCATGGGTGATCTACGACAACGGTGCAATATACGAGTGCGTCCTCTGTAACTGCGCTGTTTTAGGCATGTCGTACCAACTCGCCCAAGCATTCACTTTAACTATACTCATAGTCCTCGTAATAAAAATGCAGCACAGTAAAACACTGACGATATCGAAGCAAGTCAAGCAACGCTAGTTCCCACCACTTTGAATACTGACAGCCATTGCATTCATTTCTCCTGCAATTTCAGGGTGGACGCATCACCCAGACACCTCGCTTTTCCTTTATGCTTATTTCATGTTTCTTGGTCTACTTGTCTTTCACACCCGTATTTACAAAAGCCTCTTGCACCAGGGTTGCTCATAACAGCCATTTACAACGAATCCTGGTGACGCATGTAGCGTTAACGATGGCGGCCACACATCGATCACCGAAAAGCTTTGCGGTTAACTATCGTACGCCGTAATCGCAAAGAGGTTCCTGCAATAAATTCTTTTTTGCAAAAGCACTCACTACTACCAACCACACTTTTGTACCAAGCAATGCCTACCAGCTTTGTTACCTGTCGTTCTTATAGTTGAACGCATTCAGTGGCGCTTAGGTTTACACGTGTCGCATGTCTGTGCACGCAGGTCGGAAGACGACTTCATGCTCTATCGTCTATCATCGTTTTGGAGCAGTTTCTTCAGCGTGATTGCCACCGTTTCTGTAGGAGTTGTTATCAGCCTTCTCACAGGTAATAGCTTTTTCGTGACCGTCTTCAGACACGATCTTCATCAGTGCAAATGTTTTCACTAAGGCCTCATGCATGTCCGTAAAGTGATAATTTCAGCTATTTGGTTCATGTTGAATTCAAGCATGCATGTCCGTAAAGTGATAATTTCAGCTATTTGGTTCATGTTGAATTCAAGCATGCGCTGATTTGTAAAATAGCTTAAACGGAATGCGGTCCTTCCGGCCCATGTCCGTCTTAGTTCTTTTATCTGATACCTGCAATCAGGTCATATTCAGTTTCAGATATATATGCAGCTTGCATTTCTTGTGTCAAATTCAGATAGCTCCTCTGGCAAAGCATCTTGGAACCGCACAAACAGCACGTGTTTCATATATGTTTCCGCCACTTTGAGCACTTATTTATTTGTCACAGTGCAGAGTGTTGTATATGGGCAAATAGTGATGTCAGAAGTTGCCGAAATGAACCAGCCGAGGGGGAAAGAGCTTTTATAAACTAAAAGCTTTGGCAGTTGGTTCAAAATTCATCACAGGGCACAATCTATCTCTATGTTACAAACAAAACATGATCTGCGAGAGCGGGTGGCCAATGAAAAGCCGTTATTACGAACGAAATGCCTCTCGTATTGCGGTCTGGACCCTGAGTTGCGTGCAGAATAGTTCAGATGCCGTGCGCGTGTTCGACGTCGCCCCGAACTGCTCCATGAAATACAAAAGGAGTAGTCATTAAGCGCCGATGGCCAGGAAGTCTCCAGTGAAGAAAACTTGTCCAGAGTGCAGCCAAATATAAACACGTCCTTGCTGACACTTGTGTCACGAATATTCTAGGGCAGTCAGCTTGCTGCACCTACTGGTTATTCTCGAAGAATCTGCTAACCAGAAACATTTGTTTGTGCGTTTCTTGCTTCTTTATAAACACCGCAAAATAGTTTTATTTTTCGTGAAGGGAACGTTGATTCGGGCATCAGGTACCGGCTCGTGTAAGCAAGTGAGCAAAAAAAAAAGACCTTTGCGTATTCGGACAACAAGAATACGCACGTGACTGAATCAAAGTTCTGTGAGAAAAATAAGTCGGCTGAATTTTATTCCACTTCGTTTATCTGTTTTCTCAGACCCAGAGACGTTGAAAAAAGAGAAATCCGAGTTGCCTTAAAGAGTCGAACGTAACAGCGATATCCACACGCACGCATGCTCTCTCTCTCCCTCTCTCACATACACACAATACACGCACATATCACTTTCCCAATCGCTTGCCTGCCTTCGCTTCCCGTTGGAGACCTAAACTGTGCCGCCAGGAAAACCAAAGTGCAAAGGCCCTCCAGCTCTTATCTCAACTTACATCTACCTCAAATTTTCGCTCCTGGCCAAAGCTACAATTTCGCAGAAAAACCAAACGCGCCACCAACCAACCAAAAAATTCGAGCGGAACGAGCTCTTCAACGCTATCACGTTAAAAAGGAGCACTGAGTACACAATACACTGAAGAAAAATGGTCCATGTAAAACATCTGTTCTATTAATATTAATTAGTGAACGAAACTTCAGGCTAGATTATTTGCGGCAAAAGCGACTTTCGCTTTGAACGTGGACTGCAGCTATGTAGCATTTTCTTTCCACTAGGAGGAGGAATAAACTTTATTATGAGAAACAAGCAGGTTTAGGTGACCGGGCCTAAGCCTCCCGTGAGGGGACGTGAAGGGCTTGCCTCAACGCCGCCTCACGGGCGTGCTGAATCACCCAGGTTTGGTCGTAAAGAGCGGGGATCCGCAGAGCCTCATGGTGCTTCGACGAAAGGGTCGTAGCCGTTAGTGTGTCTGTACTGGGCCAGGCACTCCCACAGCATGTGCGGAAGCGTAGCCGGGTTAGTCTAATCTTCCTTTTTTTTTTTTCGCGCTTCACCAGTAATATCAGGAGAGGCTGTTTTGATGTTTTGCGAACGAGATTATGCAGCAGTTATCTACGTCAGATAAGAGAAGAGAAGCATGTAGACTGGAAGTGAAGAGACTATACTACATGTTGCGTGGTTAAAATTCACGTTTTGTTAGAGAGAGAGATTCAACTCCTGATAGTGGGAAGAGCTAGAACAAAGGCACAAACAGACGTGACTGTTAAAAATGTCAGATATATAAAAGAGCGTTCTTCGGCTGGCGCGGGTTCCTAGTCTCCGTCTTCGTTCACTGGCACAAAACTGGTTTACTGTTCACGGGCACAGAACACCATGTGACAATATTCTTCCTCACAACGAGGCATCAGCCCGATGCTCAAACAAAAAGTGTACCCCAAAGTTGGTCAAAATAGGAAACATACGAAACACTAAACAAACTGGCACACGAGATAAAATGCTTTCTGGTATGGTAGTCAGAAATAAACGGCATTCACTGTTCCCACGTACAACTCACTGGCACACCAAAAAAAAATTCGCGTCACTGCGTGATTTGCATTCACTGGCACAATACAACCATGGTATTCCCGCATACCCACGTAAAGTATGGCTTTAAGTGGAAGACGTGTGCAATTCCTATCGTTGTAACCGGCGCTGAGACGATGGCGAGCCTCCATTTGGAACCACTTCCCAGTTCACCTCGCTCACACTCCTGAGCACTTTGTAAAGTGCAGAGTACTTCCTCAAGAAGTTCTCGCTGAGACCTCACCGCCTAATGAGTGTCCAAATTGAAACTTGGTAACCAGGTTCATCGGTAACTTCTCTATAGTGGACGTCATACCAGAGTGCAACTGGACACTGTTGCACTTTGATCTACACATGGGTGAGATGACGCGCTTCCTCTGTTTGCTGAATGTACTCAATAATGTCGAAGGCTAATTAGTTGAGCTGGTCTATGTACTCATACGTAATGATTGCATCTAGTATAATTCAGACATCTCGACCATAAACGAGCCGTAATGGTGTGAAATGCAGTTTCCTGCGTTGAAGTGTTGTACGCAAATAACACGTACGGAAAGATTTCGTTCAATTTTTTTTTTGCTGCACATACACGTACGTAAAAATCATGTTGGCTAACGTTTTGTTTAGCCTTTTCTTCAAACCGTTGCTCTGAAGATGGTATGCAGTGCTCTTTCGGTTGCTTGTGTAACTGAACCTGATAATGACATTCAGAGCTTCGCCGTGAATGATGTCCCTCGGTCAGTGATGACGCATGATGGAGTGCCATGCCAAAGCACAATTTGATTCTTAAAAAAGGAGAAACTACGGATGCGCTCCCTCGTGTCAATGCCTTAGTCTTAGCGTAATGCGCCCAAAAATTGGTTGCGACAATAATTAATTAGTTTCTAGACAAAGGCAAAGGAAGCGGCCCCAGGAGGTCAATTTCTATTTGATCAAATGGTGTACGTGGTGGATCGATGGGTTGTAGATGACCAGCAGGCTTAAAAGGTGGCGTCTTGCGGCGCTGCCATTCACGGCATTTCGTCACGTAGCGTTTTACGCAGGCCGACATTTTAGATTGACAAAGTATTTGTGGCACAAGTGAGACAAACGAAGAAAAATGGAAGAGACAGCATAAGGTAACTAGTTGCTAGACTGGTGCCCTATCCTGTCCCCTCCTTTTCTTTCTTTGCTTGTCTCAGTTGCGCGATAAATACTTTATTAAGCTATGAATTTCCAACTCACCCAAGAAACAGCACTCTTAAAACATTTTATGCCAGTATTAGAGTTGTCGCGCCCGATTCAGAGTTATTGAGCAGCCCAGATAGCTGGATGTGGGCTCGTCATGGCAAGCTAGTAGCACGTCATCACAGAGGGCTTCAGGCACGACCAGAAGATGAGAGCTGTCACCAGCACCAGCGTTTATTTTGTACAAAATGTCATCTCGTAGGCAAAATGACGGCAACGTTCGTGACATCGGACGAAGAATGAGCGTGGTGTCACCTTCTATGTGGTTCATAATCAGTCTTATATCGGTGTCATTTCGTTGTTGAGAGATCAGATTCGGCCCGCTGAGAGTCATCACGAAAGCGCCGTGCTCTTCTACTGCTTTATTGTCGGCTGTACTATCTGATGTAGGTGCTCGTGATAGCGTGTCGGCATCTTCATGCCTTTTTCCTGACTTGTACACGATTGTGACAACAAATTCATTAAGGCGCACACTCAACGGTTGCTATAGTCCCCCTGAGGAGCTTTGTAGATCGGCCTACCAGCACAAAGCATGATGATCAGTGATCACTTTGAATGGTGTTTCGTATATATATGGCCTAAACTTTGTGATAGTCCAAATGACCGCAAGATATTCTTTCTCTGATGTGAAATAGAGTCAGCGTGAGGCAGAGTGCGGCTTGCATAGGCTATTATCCATTCAATTACTTCGTCTTTCCACCAAGATAGCTCTAAGACCTATATTGCTGGCATCAGTGCGCACTTCTGTGTCAGCATCTTCATCGAAACGGTCGAGCATGGGAGGAAAATATAGCCGGTGTTGTAGTTCAGCAAAGACAGTCTGCTGCTCACCTGCCCAGAGAAATGCTGTGTCGTCGGGCGTGAGACGTGATAGCAGCTGCACCATCTTGGAGAAATTTTTGATGAATCACCGGTAATACGTGCACAGACCCAGAAATCATCGAAGACTTTTCTTGTCAGTTGTAGCTGGAAAAGCGGCGATGGCAGATGTCTTGTCGTCATCACGCTGAACACCAGCGGCACTTATCACGTGACCGAAAAACTTTGTTCTTCGTAGCTGAAATGATATTTCTCAGGCTTGAGTGTGGCATCGGCTGATTGAATGGCTTCAAGTACATTCCGAAGGCAATAAAGATGCTTGTCACATGATACCAAAAAAAAAAAAAACAACGACGTCGTTGAGGTATACAAGACAGCTTTTCCACTTTAGGTCAGCGAGGACGGTGTTCATCATTCGTTGGAATGTGGCTGGAGCGGGAAAAAAAGGCCGAAAGGGAGCACTGTGAATACTCAAAGGCCATTCGGAGTTACAAAAACCGTTTTTTCTCGGTTCCGTTCATCGACATCTATTTGCTAATAGCCACTATTCAAGCC